TGGATTCTCAAACCAGTTTTCAAGCATTATTTCACATGTATAAATAATAAACACTTTATAAATATTTAGTTAAATAAATAATATTAATTTAGCCAAAATTAGATACTTAAATAGCACATAAGTAATGCCTAAAAATATAATTCAAGAAACACATCAATTAATTTAATCTATACACCAAAATTATTATAAATTACACCTAAAACTAATAAGTTAATATTTTACATACAAGATTAAATAAATACAATTATTAGAGTAAATTAATATAAATAATACCAAAACTCGACATAAATAAATTAATAATTAAATAAATATAAGTTATAAAATATGAAAAAATCAAGAGTTATCAACTATGTTGAAGTTAATGTCAAAATCGCGGTGATTGTAAGGGGTATATCGACCGTGTTGACTTTCATGACCGCGACCACGTCCATGGCCTCGTTCAAAAAATGTCGCGTTTGCTTCAAGAAACGGACTAGAACCAGTGGGCCGGAAGTGATGAATTTTCATCACTAACTCATATTTTGCTCAGCTAATTATTTTATTTTCATATGGAGGAAATAAAATTTATAAATGAATTTCTTTGATGCGAATATTAAATAATATTCCCTCCGTCTCAATTGAAATGTTACTATTTTCTATTTTCGTCCATTGAAATATTATCATTTTTTATTTTCGTCCATCCTAAAACAAGGTTATCATTTTCTAATATAGTAATTGTACTATCTACCTAATATAATAAATACCATTTTAACTTATAATATATTACACAAATGTTATTATTTTTATATTACACCATACTAATAGAGGTATTTTTGTTTATTTTACTATAATTCAATATAATACTAATATTAAAAAATCTACGTATAAAAAGTAAATATCACCCTTCAAATGAGATCAAGGGAGTATGAATTTTTCCGATGATGTGAAATAGAGGAGAGATGGGAGAAACCTCAGTTGAGATTCTTGAATGTGGATGCCGTAGAGAAACAGATCATAAAATACTACTGATGAATTTATGATGATGGTGACTACCCATTTTTTATTGCGTATAATTTCTTATATTATAATTCCTCCGTAACAAAATTATAGTTTGAGTTATATTTGATACAAAATTTAAGAAATATTGATATTATATTGATAGTGGGTAAAAAGTACGAATAAAAAACTTTTTTGCCCTCGTGAGTATATTAGTGTAAAAAATAGTAGCAGTTGTGTAATAATAATAAAAAAATAAGAATAGTTTTATAGTAATAAGATTATTTATGAAAATGAAATCATTATTGTAAGACAGATAAACATAGTAAACACGACTATTATATTGGGATGAAAAGAATATTTATTTATATATTTAAAAATAATAGTCCATTCTTATTATAATATGTATAAAAATTCATATAACATTTTAACCAATAAAAAAAATCAAAATTACAAAAAATATATTTTCTTATTCCCTTATTTATCTATCCGTTTGTTTTTTGCACGAAATTTTAAAAATATTAATATTATATTAGGATATGGTATAAATAAAGTATAAAAGACTAAAATAATTTTATTAGTACGGTGTGATATAAAGGTAATAACATTTGTATAATATACTGTATGTTGCAAGAGTATTTTTAATGTTAGTAGAAAGTACGATTACTAAAAAAAATAAAAATGAATACTTTATTAAAAGACAAACAAAAATAAATTAATGAATAGATTATTAGGGACGGAGGAGTATATAGTATTAGACAGAGTGGATTATACATCTTTTAAATATATATTTATTTTGTCTCAATTTAAAATATTATCTTTTTTTTAATTTTTTTCGTTTGCTCATTAAAAGTATCTATTTTTTAATATAATAAACGTGTTTTATGTACAAATACCGAAACATCTCTACTTTTACACAAATTATAAAAAAAGAATTACTTTTATTTTGTAGTTTTTAAGGACAAAATTTTAAATTAACAAATGATGTTTTTTAAATAAGTCAGAATAAGTATATGATAAGATGTAATTTTACCTCAATAAATTATATGTTATACATTTCATTGGCCCATCAGCCATTTTATTTTTCTTCATTTGTTAGGCATGAATATGAATCTGTATATTGGCTAAGTCAGTCATATATTTTGTATACATTTTGACATAAAGCCAATTGTTATTTTTGTTGGCAACTCTCTATTTACACGAAATAGCTGCTTCTTATTGTATTAATTTATAATTTCATCTTAAGTATATATCTATATATATAATCTCTATATACCAAAAGAGTTGTTAAATTAAAATTTACACCAATATATAAGACCTGTATAATGTACTTAAATTTGATTCTTTTTTGTATTTAAATTATAATTTAGTAATATTTAATATAAAACAAATATACTCCCTCCGTCCCAGAAATAAATATTAATTTGTTTTTTTTACGTAGTTTTAGAAATATTAGTATTATATTGGATATAGTAGGAATAAAGTAGAAATGCCAAAATAACCTTATTAGTATGTGAGATATAAAGGTAATGGCATTTGTGTAATATATTGTAAGTTGTAAGAGTATTTGTAATGTTAGGTAAATAGTACAGTTACTAAAAGAGGAAATGGATGATGGACTAAAATAGAAAAATTGATCATTTGTTATGGAACGGGGGAAGTATTTTTTATTAAAAATCGTACTATCAAAAAATAATTCGAACTCTGCCAATTTATTAGTAGGTTTATATCTTTTTAAGTGTAATTTACATATTGAAATATTTATATCAATAGAATCAATTAATAATTGGGTAATTATTTTTTTAATCCCGTAACTGGACCCTCTTATGATTTTAGTCTCATAAGTAGAATCTGTCGCAAACTAGCCCCATAAGTAAAAAAATTTTAGTTGTTTTAGTCCTCCGGCGCCGGAGACGTCCGCGTGGCTCGCTGGAGGCCACGTGTCCGCCAGGTCAGCGACACCTGGCGGATACGTGGATTTTATTTATTTTGTATTTTTTTAATTTTTTTTAAATTTTATTTATTTATTTTTAATTTTATTTGTCTTTTTTAATTTTTTTATTTGGTCCAATTAAAAAATAAAAATTAAAATAAATAAAATCCACGTGTCCGTCAGGTGTTGTTGACCTGGCGGGACACCTGACAGACACGTGGCCTCCGGCGAGCCACGCGGGCGTCTCCGTCGCCGGAGGACTAAAACACCAAAAATTTTCTACTTACGAGACTAGTTTACGACAGACACCACTTACGGAACTAAAATGATAAGAGTGTCCAGTTACAGTTACGGGACTAACAAAACACTTTACCCTTAATAATTTTGAATTAAATATACAAACGTTTCATAATTAATAAATTACTTTTATTTTTAATATTACACTGCCCTTATTTAAATATCCAATTATATATGTAAAAGAAAAATATTTTAATGAGTGATAAAAATATAATAAATTAAAAGATAATTAAATCAAACTTGAACTCAAGAATTATTATTTATATAAATGAGTAGAGAACCGAGGTCAAGTTCAGCTCGCAGACAACTCAATTAAATTCGCTCGTAATAAAATACTTAGATCATTTTTTTACTTTTTACAACAAAGAAATTAAAATATAAGTATATATATATATATCCGGAAAAATTATGTCATACAAAGAAAATGATATAATTTTGCTGAAGGAGTACAATCGATAGGTATTTGAGCAATGAAGCTTTAAAATTTTAATACTCCAATACTTTTGTATATAGGTGAATGTCATTGTTGTAATAATATATAAAATACTTCATCCGTCCCCACACAAGGTAAACATTTACTACAATGTAAACATTTATTTTTGATGCGGTATTTATGAAATAATAATATTTTAATTATAGTGGGTACTTAAAAATAATGTAATGATATTTTTTGTCCTTGCTTTTGTGTAAAAATAATTATGAGATATAAAATAAAAGTATTTGTAAAAAAAAATGAAGTATTTAATAAAATATTTACTTTGTAATTATACGTCCCTAAATAAAAATATATATATAGAAAGAGTATAAGATTTTTTATTTAAACAAGAACCCCAATTACTAAAAAAAAATGATAAATTAATTTCGAGCATATCAAAATACAAAAATAATACTCCCTTCGTCCCAAAAGAAGTGTCTTATTGAGAGTTGGCACGGGAACTAAGGAATAATAGTATTTAATTGAAAGTGGGTATAAAGTAGAATATAAATGACTAAAATATCCTTACTTTTTTTGAAGAATTTTAAAGAATATGTTAAAATAATAATTAGGGGTAGTATGAAAAAGTGGAATAATTTTGTTATAAAGTAGGACGAATTCTAAATAAAGAAACAAGATAATTGTTTTGGGACCGACAAAAATGAAAAAACAAGAAAAATCTTTTGGAACGGAGGGAGTAGATTAAGTACGGGTGGAGAAAATATATATAAATTTTTATATAAAAAACTGCAATTATTAAAAATTTTTGAAGAGTGTGCCATAATAAATTATAAATAAATTTAGATATATATAATAATTTATATATTTAAAATACTCCCTCCCTCCGCCGAAATTTATTCTCGCTTTCCTTTTTAGTCCATCCACTAAATTTATCAACAAATCACCGTTTAATTATTATCTTCCATTCAACGTTTATTTACAACAAATATCACTAACTTTATTACTTTATCTATTTTTATTTATTTTACTTTTTAACTAAAATTTAAAAAATACCCTCAACTGTCTATGAATTTTTTAATAAAATATTTATTTTTCTTAATTCCCGCACCAGAGCGAACGGAGGGGGAAGGAGTATATAATATGCATAAAATCTGATTCAAATTCAAATTCAAATTCAAATTCAAATTCAAGCCTTGCCAAAAGCTTAAACTCAAAATCGAAGTTAATGAGCCAAGCACGAATCACAATTTAAGCTTGAATCTTAAACTAGCCAAGTCCAACTTATTAATTATTCTGTCATTTTGTTATTTTGTATGTATTTTATTAATGTAAACTAATTATTCTTAAATAAAATAGATAGTAAAAAAGAATAAAGTAAATTAAAATCAGAATAAACACCCGCTCTTCCCAGTAATATGCATGCAACAAACATCACTAAGACAGAGATGAGTTTTGCCTTACTTACATTGTCTGTTATCCTCCGGTAACCGAACGAACAAGAAACCCGATCCGGTTACACAACCATTGATAGTGTATCACCTGCGCGAATCGAAAGAAAGATCAACTGTCATGATCACATAATAATACTTACATGGACATATGCTTGAGGGCGAAAAAAAGTCTGATTTCGACACCAATCACATTCAATAAGGCTGCGTTGCTTGAATTCAGCTTATTCTATTGCAATATCTAAAAATGGCTACCAACAAACGAGTAACGGCGCACGAACAAAAAGGTTTCTTTTACACACTCGGGTACATGGCAATGAAATATTTTTGTTTTACTTATAAGACATGGACATCTATCTCAACTTCTTGTACAAAAGAGAACTAGGTTAAAAATGTGCTGGATTGTTACCTACTTGGGTAGAACTTCTTTGTGAGCTTTGTACGAAAGAATCACATTCCATATCAAGGCAATGAAGTTTGCTGCCAGGACCTGTAAGAAAACAAAGCACGGAGTCAATGAACAGATCTCCCCGAACAATAGCCTAAAACAAGATTTCATGGATTTGAACCAGCTTCAGTCACAGCTACCAATTAATCATTGTAGATCGATATATTACCAACAAACTAAATAAACGTAATTCAAATTTTGTGAATGAAATGATCTTCGATGTATAGAAAAAAAAAAAACAGGAACATGAACTCTAACTTAATACAATTAGTTAAGAAGATAGAAAGCTAGAGAAAGAAAGTATGACGAGAAATAAAAACAGATTCATATTTTTCGAATCAAATGGAATTCGCTATATTTTTTAATTATTTTTATAATGAGTTAAAGTATAAATCAAGTACCTAAGGCATTCTACCAGTCAACAGGACTACTATTTCGCCAAACGAATTCAACTGCTTTCGCCACTAAAGCTAAGTTCAGTATTGAATAATGATGATCTACCTCACAATTGGATTTCGCTACAGTTGGTAGCATAATGAGATTTCTTGTTTTTACATATATTTCATCATTTTGGGGACCCTATTATATTTCAACATAAAACATGAATCGCTTGAGCCGGGCTTTCGATGAAACAAACCTGAAATTGTTGTGGCACAAAACGGAAGTTGAGGAATTGGAATGGTATCCATAGCTGCCAGTTTGCAACAACTGAGGATAACCACTCCTACAAAACAAATTAAAAAATGGTTACGATCCTATACATTGAAAAGCTATAATTCTTTATGATTACCGACAGAAGATGACATTAGACAATACCTGTTTCAGCTTTGGGATTACATTAGATGGATTTCCCTCAAGTGTCATCAATGCAGATAGGAAAACTCCAATGAAAGCAGGAGCAAAAAGAAACTGCAGGAGCAAAAGTTCAAAAGCTAAAGGTCAGGTGAAAATAAATATAACATCAGAGCTCCTCAAAATCAAGAAGCTAAAAAGCACCTGATCGAGCACAAGCCGCAAAAATGCACCGTATGCTCCCGGTGTCGTCACCAATTTGCTCAAAGACAAATACCTTTATGCATAACACGAGACAACTATTTGAGACTTACTTACTTTGACGCAAACTCAAATTAGATATCAAGTATGCATATGAACATATGTATATGAACAAATGCTTATCCTTGTCCAAGTAACAGTATTATGGAAGAAAATAACGATAGTAACAGAATGTAGAACGGGATTAATATATCTCTTATCCTTTTTGAGGTATTACCAGAAATGCAATGCCGGACCGACCAGAACCATCCCCAACATTGTGAAAATGAATGTCCTCTTCATATCCATAGACGGTGCTTTATCAATCCAAAGCTGAATTACATCCCGTCAAACATTGAATAATTAACAACTTTCTAAACTTATATGGATAAAAATATCAAGGTATAAAAAAGAAACAAGTACACCATTCTTCCTCCTAAGTAGGCATAATACACTGTACCGTCACAAATTTAAGGCAATTGGCGAAGGGTCACTCATAAAGTATGATGACCGAAAGAATATGAGTATCTACATAGAACAATTATCAAAAACATATTTTTAGAGAAATTGAAATCGGATGGGCCAGAACCCGGCTAAATACTGCCAGACAAGATTTAAGCAGGCCCCAATCGATAACTTAAACTTCAAAACCCCGATAAGATATTCCACGAATTCCCGGCACAACACTGCATAGAACCAATAGAACCATGCAAGGCCCAGTAATAACAAAACCAGAAGGCAGAAGAGAAAAATATGAAAACGTTCTCATGCCATTTTATGTGTGCAATCAAACTACTATAGGGGCTATTTACTTAGCTAGTTTATGCTTCATCAATTTTGTGATGAAAATTCTATGAACAATGCTTTATGCCTCCAATTAAACATTTTACTCAGTGCAGTAACAAGTCTCTCCACAATCTCAACTTTATCCGACTGTTTGTGTTTTGGGGGTGTTTAGAAATAGTATAATTTGGAATTAAAAAAATAAGTGTTAAACATTATGTTTTAAATGGAAATAGGAGCATGATACAATGTTTTGAACCAAAAATAAGTTTTTGATGCAATAACTTTTAAGGGAAATGTTATTTCATTGCAAAAAACAAAAAGTAGCACGAAACAAATTCAAAACTGCTAATAAACACAGTAGCTCCTTCACTGGTCCATAAAAAGCTTTAAAGCTCACATCTTTTTTGAAAATGGGGTATGTAACTGTGTTCCAAACTATATTGAGAAAATTTTCACTGATCGCATGATCCCAATATGGCGACGACGGCTCACCTGGCAGATAATGTCACCAACCAGAGTCAAAATAGCTGATGTTATAGCTTTAGTGATCACAGGATAACTGTCCAGAAGAGAAAGATACCTGCATTGAAATGAGAAACCAAAGTAAGCGCTAAAGAATAGATATCCAAAGATCAAAAAACACAGCTACAATTAACAGCATTCTATCCCAAAATCTTCACAGCAAACTCTGTTTACATATTTTTCAGTTAAAATATAGCTTCTCAAAACAACATCATCTTTAAAAATATTAATCAAAACCTATTTTCTATACAAAACAATCAGATTAAATACTTTAATTTTTTTATTCAATTCTTTGCTTTTTCAGAAGCTCTCCAATAAGCATTTCAGAATGAACTTTGTGCAGTCGAAAGTGGTCTCTTACCACCAAGTAATAAAACAAAAGCGTCTGACCAAATTAGTGAAGAATAACAACATTTTTTTACCATGAAAGGAACGACCAGTTATTCCCACCAGGGCCGCCACCAGAACTTCCGTTGCCGGAACCGCCGAATCCACCACCAGCTTTGCCGCCGGAGCCGGAACCGCCGCCACTCGAAACACGCAAGGATCGAGGACTAGAATGCCGAAACCCTAAACCCGGACGGCCAAATAGGTTAAACCCATTAGTAGAAAGCGCAGAAATTCTAGCGCCGCAGCTTGAGAGGCTCCGATTACTGTTGATTGGGGTTGACATATGAATACGGCTGCGGGTAGCAGGCACCGGCACCGGCATCCGAGAGATAGATACCCATCGGAAGAGGAGATGGGAATTTCGAGCTGCGGCGGCGGCGGCGTTGGTTGCCAGCATAATTTTGGTGTGTTGGGTTCAGAAATGGGTAGCCGGCGCTTCGAGGTTTAACAGGCGCTCTGACGTTATGGAATTCAAAAGAATAATAAGGGTGTTTTATTAATAAAAATAGACATTGTTCTTTTACGCCCAAGCTAAATTGGTGTATTTGAATTAAGTAATTAAAAATTTAATTATTAATAAAAATTATAATTTACTAAAATAATTATAAATTAAGATCATTAAATAGTTTGATTAAAATAAAAAATTATGAATTATAAATTTTAAAATATAATTAAAATGTATAATTATATTTTTTAAAAAAAAACTTGAAATAACAAAAATAAAAATATTGAATAAATTATGTAATATAGAAAGAGTACTATTTTTTCTACATATTTTTCAAATAAAATTAATACAATTTATTATTTTTATATTTTCTGTACAATTTTTTATACTTTGTATAATTTTTTTTTTTCAACAATCTTATAAAATAATCACATCCACATTACTTTATATTTCTATCTCAATTAAAATATTTATTATTATTTTCATCAGTTTCATTTAAGAATATCTTTTTTTAAAACAATCATACAATATTAAAATAATTTATTAGCTTTTACAAAAAATTCTATATATACATTATACACCATTCATTTGTATATAAATTATGTAAAAAAAACAATAGAATCAATTTTTGTATTTTTACTAAACAATAAAATTTTATTATTTTTCAATCTATAATAAAAATTAAATAGCTATTTTGAATCGAAATAAAAAATATTGTTTTCTATAAATTATTATTTAAATATAAATTTCAAATCAAGATATTATTTTTTAAATTAAAACAAAATAAACTCTAAGATTTTATGATATTATTATAGAATTAACCAATATAAATATTAATTATTTTTTTGTTAATCACTATTTTTATATATTGTATATGATATTATATAATATAATGTAATATATATGGATGTGTATATATGTATATTGTGTATTTACCATGATGATGACTTAATGCTTTTTTTTATATATATATATTTATGTGTACGAATGTGGAGAGAAAATAGATAGGTGAAATACAAGAATTGGGTGAGATTTTTTATTATTCTTTCATTGTATAACTCCAAGATATTGTGTATATATAGGCATTTTCACTACTAAATTTCATAGTTGAAATTAATCATACATACATCAAATAAAATTACAGTACCTATTTAATTTAGTCGCATCCACATAAAGCATATACGTGTATAACATAGAATGTTTTTTTGATTGTATATATGTTTTTCCATATATTTTTATAATTAATTTTATTTCATTCATTAAATTTATGCTTACTTTGTATTGACATGGAAAAAAAAAAGTAATAATTTTTCACAAAAATTGTGTTTTTGAATAAATATAATTTTAAAATTAGATATGAGAAAATACAGTTTGTTCATTCAACATTTTTTAATGAAACAATTTTCATAAATATTATTAAAAAATATAAATATATATACACACAGTGGCGCCCCACTCCAACCCCATTTTTACTCTATTTTATTAATTTTTTTATTTTTAAAAGAATAATATATATAATCTATAAAAAATATTTAAAATAAATAAAAATAATAATAAAAATATCAAAACGTTGATTTTTTTAATAAAAAATGCATTAGTTTTTTTCTTAAAAAAATATAATATATTAATATTTACTAATAAAAAAGATTATTTATTTTTTATTTGGACTATATTTTATGTAATAATTAATATTTAATATTAGTATGCAAAAAGTAAATATAAAATTATCAAGTGGATGATAGTAGTATTATTTTACAAATAAAAAATTTATTTTGTAAATTTAAAAATTTTGTCCCCCTCTCTTAATATTCTAGTTCGCCACTGCAGACACATTAATATAATATATATTATTCATTTATAAAAAGTCAATCATTCAATACAAAATATTATTACAAATATAATTTTTCATACCACACAAAAAATCAATTAATCTAAAAAAGGTCATATAAAACTAATATAACTCTGAATGAACAGACTGTTTAATATAAAAATTAATATAATCTTTATATTAAATTTTTATTTTTTGTGAGACAATAAAAAATACTTCATATTAAAATTGTGTAAAAAAAATGGTAGACAAACAAATCCTATATTAATATATTTATATTAAATCGAATAAATATTCTAAATTCAAGTACAAAACTCAAATTTTCAAAAAAAATATGTCATATAATTTTAGGTGATTTTATTACCAGTTACCAATATAAAATAATATTTTGTGTGTCGTTGTAAATATCTTTTGGTTGACTTTTATTATTATGTAAGGTTGAGGATTGGGTGTAAAAAATCGACAGTCATGATGATTGTGTAAAAAATAATTATGTTAAAAATTTTTTATTTATAATATAATTAATCTAATTATGTATATAAATATTAGCAGTAATCACTCATGAGTGCTGATTTTAAAAAATTAATAGCAAATTCTCTCTCATAATGTAGATATTGCACATTATATTATACTAGTATCAGTCTGTTTATTGTGTGTTTTTAGATGAATTGATTTTTTTTGTATAGTATAAAAAAGTGTATTAGTAATATAAGAAAGTAATATTTTGTTTTAAATAGTTTACTTATATATATATATTAATATGTATATTTATATTTTTTAAATAATATTTATAAGAAAATGTTTCATTGATAAATGTCAAGTTAACATATGATTATAAATCGAGGGTGTTCGGATTGTGTTTTTGGGATGAATGTTTTTTTTAATTATTAGATATGAAAAATATATTTATAATATAAAAATAAATATTTTATATCAAATTATTAATTTATTTTTTCAAATTGATAGAATATATATTGTATAAATTTGTTTGGTATAGTAAATAAAATGTAAAATAAGAAGATTATATAACATTTATTAAAGAATAGATAAAGGATTATTAAAGAAGTAGAAAAAATAATAAAATATTGTTATTATTTATTAAAGTATGGACTTATAAAATTGTTTACTATAAATTAATTAAGCATAAATTTAGTGGACAATAAAAAATAATGACATAATTTTAGCTGACGAATAATGTATATTTTTTTAATGTTTTTTAAAAATTGTGTCAATAAAATAAATAAAAAATATGTTGGGGTGAGCATCCTCGTTCGTGTTTAATGTAATATAAATAAATATTAATATAATAATTTGAAGATAAAATTAATTTTTAAAATAATATAAAAAATATATAAAATAATTATTAGATTTGATATTTTTTGAAAAGAAATTAATTAAACATGTATTTATTATATAAAATAACTATTGATAGTGAAAAATGTGATGAAAAAGAATTTATTTGGGGGGAAAATAATTTCAAATTTAAATCTCCTATTTACAGACATTTTCTTCCCAAAATATTAAATTAAATTCCCAAGTTTGTAATTATGTTTTAGTTTCATAAAAATAAAATTGAAATCTCACTGTTTACTAATTTCTTTCTAAAAAATATATAAATTTTAATATTTGTTTTCTTATTTTTATACTTACACTATAAACAAATGTAATTTCAAAATATATATAATATAAATATATATTTATATTATGCTAACTCCGTCCACTTAATAAAATTATATTTATATTTTGCATTATCGTATACATTAAAAAATATCTTTATACTTTTATAATATTTTATACAAATATCATTATATTTGTATTATAAAATACTAAAGGAAATATTTTATTTTTTTCTATTGGTTTGTACTATATTTTGATATAATATATAATTAATATTCAAGGTTCAACTTGCAAAAAGAAAATATAAACTTTCAAAGTAGACAAAAATAGTATTAAATAATTATTAAAATTTTGAACTTTATTATTTAAAACTCAAGTCTAACTACCCAACAAGAATAAAAAGTTTAGAAGCCCATGGATGGAAGGTGGTCCATTCGCCTATGTTGGAGAGCGAGAGATAGTCTAGTTTGAAGGATAATGTAAAAGTGGTTGCGGTGGTGGCAAATTTTTTGGCGGCTAATAATAGAAGCTTGGTTGAGAAGAAGTTGAAGTCTTGCGATCTTGCGGAGGTCGTGCCGTGCTCTTTGGTTTCAAAAGATTTGGCAAGCTCCCTAGGTAAAATCGCTGAAGGTTGGTTTGGAAGGTGTTGAAGTGGAGTTAAGAAGGGTGCATATGGTCCCTCTTGTTGGTTTTTCTAGCGTGGACACTCAGGGTGGTGGAGAGGAGATTCTATTGTCGAGAGATTTGAAAATTCATAGTCAAGAGTAATGGGGAGTGTGGTAGACGTGTAGGGTTTCATAGAAGACATTTGATTACGTAGATAATATAACTCTTATGGCTGGAGCGGGTAAAGGTAAGCAGTTGGTAGCTAAGATGGAATTGATCTCATGTCGGGAGAGCAGTCATGGTGGTGTGAGGTTCCTGAGTCCCAGATCTCTCCCAAGCAGGACGCGCAGGCCACCATTGGTTTCGAAAGAGATAAAGAGACGAGAGAGGAGGCGGAGGCGTCATGCTCTTTAGCAAGGCAGTTAAGGGTGGAAGTTTTGGATGTCGAGAGATTTTAAGACTGCTTCCTTGCGGTGGTGAAAGAGAAAGGTTGATCTGTTAGAGGAGGTTCTCGGTAGAGTGTTTGGGTGTTGTCCAGTTGTTATAAAGTTAATCTCGCTTAATGTGAGAGGGTTAGGAGAATGAGCCAAAAAAAGAGCACTAGCGAGGTTGGTCAGGGAAAAACAACCAGATGGGTTGTTACTTCAAGAGACTAAGTTACAAGAGTACGGGAAAAGGTTGGTCTGAGGGTTTTTTGGGCCCAGAAAGATGAAGTCTTTTGGAGTTGCTGCAATTGGGCGTCTGAGGGATTGTTTTGCTGTTGGGATCCCTTGGTGTGGTCTTTGCAGTAGGTGGAGTCGGCTCAAGAGTATTTGGTTGAAAGAATGTAGGGTGAGTAAAGATGAGGTTATAAACGTGGTGAATATTAATGCTCCAAATGAAGCCAGAGATCGGAATTATGGGATATGTGCAGTAAGACATTGAGGCAGTGTGAAGGTTGGTGGTGTATTCGGGGGACTTTAATTCTACCCTTTAATTCTCGT